AATTTTTTATTTTTATTTTTTTCGTATGACTAAAACGTGTATTGCATCCTTCAACCCGTTCTCGTATAGATAAAAAGAAATCATTGTACTAAATCTAAATCTCATTTTTAGAATTCCGTTATGAATTTTTAAAACTGAATATTGCATACGCTATAAGGCCGGTCCACATAGAACTCAAACCCATTTGTTAAAGGTCTTGCACCACTTTTTGTGGATGGACTTAGAGCTCTGGTACAATAGGTGAACCGACCAACTAAAATTTGGTTTTACATCGTGTTTGAATTGCTCCTAAGAGCTTCCCTATTCCAAAATTTAGTTGTTAGAGAAGTGTTTCAATGGATGTACAGCGATTTAAAGCGGGTTTCAAAAAATTGAGGGACTATTCTTGTAAAAAGTTATCCGTGAAATTTTTTCAGGATTGACTTTCATTTGGTTGATTATGAGAGCTTCGATTGCAGCAATGTTCATCAAATTGGAAAATATTTCAAGTGGCTATCGGCGGCAGTTTCTAAGAACACTGATGCACCGCATATGCAAAGTAACCAAATTATAAATTCGGTACACCAATACTCGCGCGGACTACTATGGTAGGCCCGCGATTTTCGCGCCAATCCACAAAAAAGAGCATACGCGTAGAAGTTAAGCGCGGTACTCACTCGTCGACAAATTTAATGCAGAAGGCTTGCCTGGAACCGCACCGCTCTAACATACAAAAATGTCAAGGTATCAACAAAAATCTTGCCGTGGTCTACTATAGTAGGCCACGCGTGTACTCTAGTGTTAAGAATTAGATTTGGAGAATTCTAGATTTGAATTTTAAAATACTCAACTTGATATTAAAAAGTTCTTAATTATACAATATTTAAGTACACAAATAATAAATACCTAACATGTAATTTTTTTGTTAATATTCAAGACTGAACTCGAACTATTAATATATAGTAATACGCTAACATAAATTTTGTCTCCGTTCGTTTGGCGATTCTACCGAACCGATTTCAAAACCAAGAACACCATTGGAAAGGCATTTTTCAGTAGCAGAGTTTTTATGGTTTCACAATTGGTTGAAAATTACGGCCAAAACCGTCGTTTAAACATTTTCGAATTGTGTATATATGTTGCTGCAACATGTTCAATTTGACATGTTTCGCCTGTTGTTTCACTACACATTTGAAATTAAGCTTTGAAATAAAGATAAATATGAACATGAAGAAATAAATGATAACGATGAAGTCAAAAAAAAGAAGGCAGAAGTGAAGATAAGGACGAAAATGGAGACAATGAGAGATACATAAGAATTAGGGTAACTGAAAAGGTAAGAACATTTCTTGAATTTATGAAGTGAAACTTCTTTAGCGGCAGTTGGTTGGTTGGGAGTAAATTGTCAAATTCAAGGGGAATAATGGAAATGGTTCTCAGCGGTTTAGCGGTTTGAGAATAAAAACAAAAACAAAGATGCCTAGAAGTACGGGCAAAAACGAAGATCAAAGTAAATTTAAACACTTTAAGGTAAATGTGAAGAGGAATATGCAAAAATAAAGATAAATATGAAGAAAAGGATGAGGATGAAGATCGATATTGTTATCGATATAAAACCCGATATTTTTATCGATATAATAATCGATACTTCTATCGATAAAATAATCGAAGTTGTTATCATACTGTTATTGATTAGATAACCGCTATTGTAATCGATATAATAATCAATATAATAATCAATATAATAATCGATATTGTTATAGATACAATAGCGGATATTGTTATCGGTATAATAATAGATTAAATAATTGATTTTGTTATCGATTTAGTCATTTATATTGTTAACGATATGTACAATAATCGATACTGATGACTATTATATTTAGCGCTGAATTAATCGATTTGACAACCGTTGTATTTTTCTATATGTGTATGGATATTGTTATCGGTATTTTTATAAACACAGTTATCAACAGGGTTATCGATACACTAATCGGAACATGGAATGTGATCACATTACATGACATCACATCACATTTAATCACATGATATGAAGAGACATCACATGATCTCGCATCACATAATATGATATCACATCACACGATATCACGTGACATGACATTATATGATATGACACCACATTATATGGCATGACATCACATGACTTGACATCACATGATATGACATCGTATGACATGACATGGCATTACATGACGTGGCATCACATGATATGACATCATATGGTATGACATCATATGACATGACATCAGAGGATATGACAACACATGACATGACATCCTATCACATCACATAAAATCACGTCACATCTTATCACGTCATCGCACCTCATCTCATCTACGTGAATAGAAAAAGAAAAGGATATAAGCAAAGATGTGAAAGATAAAAACAAAGATGAAGACCAAGGTAAAGTTACCGATTTCAAAACCAAAAACACCGTTGGAAAGGTAATTTTCTGTAGATGAGGAGAGTTTTTATAGTTTCGAAATTGGTTGAAAATCGTCGTTTAAAAATTTCCATATTTGTGTATGGTTGTTTTTGCAACCTGTTCAATTTAAGCTGTTTCGCATTTTGTTTTACTTCGTATTTGAAATTAAACTTTGAAATAAAGATAAATATAAATATGAAGAAACAAGTGATAACGATGAAGACAAAAAAAGGCAAAAGTGAAGATAAAGACGAAAATTGAGATAAAGGCGAAAATGGAGACAATGAGAAATACATAAGAATTAGGTTAACAGAGTTGAAATTTTCCGATAGGAATCGAAATAAAATCAGCCATAAAGGTTACTGAAATTTATCGAATCATCGAAGTTTATAATTATCGAAATTTATCCATGCTTATTAAGTTATCGCAACGTATCGAATTATTCAAACTGATCAATGTTTACTGAGTTGTCGAAATTTATAGACACAGCAACTTATCCAAATTTACGGATAGTTATCGAGCTATAAAAACGTGTGGGATTAACGAAATTTGTCAAGTTAAAAAAATGTATCAAGTTATCGATATTTATTGAATTATCATTATTTATAGACTTAACGAAATATATCGAGGTGTCGTAATGCATGGAGTTCTTTCAACTTACAAAGTTATCGATAATTATTGATCTACTGAAATTGGTTGGTTCAACGAAGCGAAGTTTATGGAATTTTCAAACTATATCGATTTATCGAAATTTCAAGGTTTGATTACACGGGGGCGATTGGGAATTACGCTCCAGTGCAAATATGATAGAAAGAAATAAAGAGAACCAAGATATTTTGATGTTAATGGTGAATTCAATCAAGAGTCGATTTATTTCAGTATAGATATATATATATAAATGTGGAATAATACAATATTTGAATACCTTTGGACGGGAGTGGCTTGGTAGCTGGCCTGTTCGCGTTGATCTTCTGAACCGAAGTGATTAGAAAAAGTTTACGGGACCTTTAATCGGACCGCCGGACAATAACTGACGTTAAGGGGAAACTTGACGAGAGTTCATTATCCGGCGGGATATTAAAATTAACCGCGCATACTACCCCATGTGCGCATGCATATATCTGTGTATGCACATAAACATATAATATATATTATATGTTTACACAGACACTTATGCACGTACATATGCTGGCATTAGGGGGTGCGTAAATAGTAATATTTAGGCTGAAGGCCTAAACATACCGGCCCCCTTGCGATAAGCAACATCTGGAAAATGATTTGTTACGATGCAGCTACCAGGCTCACCTGAGTCTGTTTACAATTTCAGTCATTTTTATTGTTTTCTCAAAACTGCAAAACAAAATATCTCCGGTGACCAGTGCGTTAATGTCCGTTCTTCTTCCTACTGCTGGGAGATGAGAGAGAGAGAAATAAAGGTACAGACGTGATCATAATTCAATGCACTTTTATTTAGAAATAAAAAACTAGAATAAACGTATACAAATATTCATTATAAGCAAGATTAAGAAAAAAAGATGTTATTGAAAAGAATTATTTATATATTTTTTTTTTTAATTAGGCGCGGTAGGCGCCCGAGAGTACCCAACCAAATATTGTACTTTGGGCCAACAAGGGTCCAAAGGACGTCGGCAGACTACCGGGCATAATAATTTCGGCGTACACGTCCGCGCCGAGCACGATTCGAATTGCCGAATCCACTGCCGTGGATTTTAGATTTTTACATTTTTATACCAACCATAAAATATATTCTACGTATGTACCTATATTTTATAACTATATGCTTTGTTGCAGAAACATCTTTACTGACTCAAAATATATTGTAATAATTCAAGTTGTGGTAAAAAATTCAAGAGTTGAAAACCGCAGTAGAAAATTCAATTTCGCTAAAAAGTGTAGTAGATTTACTGCCATTGCAGTAAATTCCGAACGCTGACCGACATACTACGTTCACTTTGTGGAATGCATGTATGTATGTACATTGGTACAATTGTCAGAAACCATTCAAGGCGAATTTATACAATGGAAAACCGTATACATACATACAAGGTGAAATGCAAGGCGAATTTATACAAGGTGGTGTTAACAGAGCAAAAACAAAAATTGCAACAACAAATTATACGCTCCCTGACAATCAGTACAAGCCAAATTACAACAAATACATGATTTTGAAAAAAGGTACAAATTCGCCGTGAAATCAGCGGATCCGATAACACCACCTTGTATAGATTCGCCTTGGTGAAATGATATTTCTTCATTGCAAAAAATGTCAGAATGAATTCAATGGAAATCCGTATACATACACGGCGAATTCATATCTCATTTCAATTATATTTTTCTGGCACGCGGCGGTTGTGTAATCTTAAGGTTAGGTGAGTATGCGTAAAATATCGTATTATATAGCTATGTTTGAATGTCATTTTTTCTTAATTACAGGATGTTGCTTGGCATAGTTTCTGCTGGTGTTATTTTTCGGCAAATAATACCAACATCGAGGGACTTAATCGAAGTAAGTACCCGATTAATTTGCTGGCTCTTCTGGACTAAATTTTTGGAAATGCGTAGTTTTTCGTTCCAAAAGAAAACTTTTTAGTTTTTTTGAAAAGCCAACAAAATAAATAAGATACCGATTAAACACAAATTAAACTTTGTATACAATTTCGTATAGCACACAAAGGTTGGCCTTCGACAGCCATTTTCAAAACATTGCAAATGCAATTTCAGTGGAGAAATCCAGCAGTGTTTTGGTAAAAGATTTTGAATTAATACGCGTTTATCTAATGGAAATATTACGAAATGATCCAATAATTGGTCCCTTGCTCGTGAGCTTAAGGTATAAAGCTAGCGCTTTCGATTATTCAATAATATTGGATTTTTCGAAGTTCATGCCTCTTGGTGTGATACGCACGAAGTATCCATCGTTTATCAAGATTGCGCAACGCGGACGCTGCAGCGTATTTGGCACGCAGGATTTGCCATTCTTCAGCAACGGCGAGTACGTTGCTGGCGGTATTGTAACCAATATTGTGAAAGGATTAATAGCGCAGGGCTTAGATTTGGGTGGCTATTTTGTACGTGGACATATGGGCGATATTTACGAATTGGAATTGATCGAGGAAACGATAAACTTAGATTACAGAGTAAACTTAGGTTGTAATAATGAATGGCAAAGTAACTATATTTCGCTTAGTGCTTCCACTGAAGGAATAACCATAAAAATTCGTTTTCGAGTTTTATTAAAATTTTGTGCCCCCGACAAACCCAACGATTTGACGCCATACCCGATGCATAATTTAAAGCTAGTTTGGTTAGCGTCAGCAGATGTACGTTATTTGGATTACTTTTCACTGTGCGCACCAATGAGTGAATCTCAATTAGCAGCATCTCCAAAACATTTGATGGCAATGCGATTATTATACTCATTAATAGAGCACAACAAGTTGCACACGTTGAGGAAAACTCATGTGGAATCTATTTGCTATGAAATAATTTATACAAAGATACAAAAAAGATTTGGGAAAAGAGTGGAATAATGCTTAAAACAAAGTGGTACGAGCTTAGTTTTTTGGAAAATAGTTAAAATAATTATTATCATGTCTAGTTCAGTGTTACCTTATATATTTTTTAGTACTTGCGTTCTTAGTATTAGGTTGCCACGGCTCTATTGGAGATCGTACACAATTCTTTCACAATTGTAGACAAAACTGCGAACGGCAAAATTGTAGTGCAGATGGCGTAGAGATTCAGAAGCAGGCCGTTAAATATTATCAACAGTCGATATTCGACAAAGCGTTTGCTTGGAACTGTGCGGATGAATGCCAATATGGTTGTATGTGGCGCACAGTGGATGCGTTTGCAGAACGCGGTTGGGACGTACCACAGTTTTATGGAAAGTGGCCATTCCTCCGTTTTCTTGGTACTCAAGAACCAGCCTCGGTGTTGTTTTCTATTTGTAATTTGGTTGTTCACATTCGCATGCTACGACGCTTTCGTACTGAGGTGCGTCCGGATAGTCCATGCTATAAGTTGTGGCATATTTTCTCATTTGTATGTATTAATGGTTGGATCTGGTCGACAGTTTTCACACAAGAGATTTTCCTGTGACAGAGTTAATGGATTACGCTTTCGCTTACAGTATTGTACTCGTGTCACTTTATTCTATGGTTATGCGGATGATATACCGGCAGTCGCTCATATTACGAGGCTTAATTTCATTGATATTTGTCTCGTTCTTTGTAAATTACTTTGCGTACCTGAGCTTAGGCAAATTTAGTTACTCTTTAAATATGACGACAAATATTGTTACTGGTATAATCTCCGCACTGGGATGGTTTGTTTGGTGTTATTTGGAACGACATCGGCGTGCATATTACCGTAAAATTATCCGCTTCTATATTTTATTCGGCATGTCTATGAGTTTAGAGCTATTGGACTTTCCACCAATTTTGTGGCTTATAGACGCACACGCCTTATGGCATTTGGCTACAGTCCCTGTCATCTCGCTGTTTTATGATTTTTAAATTGACGACTGCCGCTCACTTTGGAAGGAACAGCAGTTTGAAAGTGGAAAGCTTAGGCAAGCACATCTAATGAGTTCATACATAGGCTAATTCTTCCTAAACTATTTTGTGATTATGAGATGCTGTTTTGTAACAAAAGGTGTTTTAGTAAAATTTTATTTTGCCAACTTAAGAAACAAAAAAGACCTCAGCAATCTAAGGAAACAGAGATTGATATTATTATTGCTATTATTCGACGCATAATAGAGTATTTCGACAAGAAATATTGGATCAAATACGCAGCATGCGGCAGAACGACGAAATATCTTATGAAGAAGTTGCATGTCTTTTCGGTGTACAGCTAAATACAGATGTATACAATGTGGACGATTTTGGAATTTATCGACACTTTAATAAACCTACGTAAAGTAGTATTTACTATTAATATTTTATTATTTGATAATATTAGGTTTTCGTTTGCTTTAAATTAATACTTTATGGCGTAGCGTTTAGTAAAATAACATAATCTTACAATGCAAATTGCTTTATCGTAATATGAAATATATATTCGTTTATGTATGAATATTAAAAAATCTCTGACATGGACTACTACATCGAGATTGACGCGTATTTTGAAGAATGTGCGAATACGAAGGAAAACAATTATAGATCCTGTTTGTTTTCTACTGGGGATAATTAAAAAATTATTGTGTTCGAAATACACCCCGCGCATGCAAAATTTACCTGGTCAATTGCACATAATCTGGATGCCTGTATCATCAAAACCCAAGTGAAATTTTTAAGTCTTTATTCAATGGTATAGGTTCCAGCCTGGCTTACGGGTCCCCATTCCAGCTGACGGTTCTCTTCGGGGTAGTATCCTGGTTTTCTACTACTTCCATCATCATCCTTGTTGGAAATGTCGTTGGTCTGGTAACAAAATTTTATGTTCTTACCTTCTTTTTTGGTTGTTAACCGTTTATTCGAGACCTAATTGGTTTGTGTCTTTTATTAGGGATTGCTGGCATAACGACATGCTGCGTATCGTGCGAACAACAAAACGCAAACAAAAAGAAGCTGATTGGCACCGAACCGAACCCTTTTGGAACCGAAGGTATGTGAGTTTTTAAATAATTTTTGTATTATTTTAAATTGTTCCTTTCGGGAGGGTCTTACACTATAAACTGCCTACACAGTTTATGCAATCTCTTCTAAA